GATAGATAGACAGATAGATAGACAGATAGATAGACAGATAGATAGACAGATAGATAGACAGATAGATAGACAGATAGATAGACAGATAGATAGACAGATAGATAGACAGATAGATAGACAGATAGATAGACAGATAGATAGACAGATAGATAGACAGATAGATAGACAGATAGATAGACAGATAGATAGACAGATAGATAGATAGATAGATAGATAGATAGATAGATAGATAGATAGATAGATAGATAGATAGATAGATAAAATATTCTCAGTTTGCCAAAATATGTTATTGTCAGCAATTACTACTGTAAGCTCTATTGTGCATCTGGTATGGTTGAAAAAGGTCATAAAAATGAATGGGAAAATGTAGAACCAGATCAAAGAAATGTTCGACTGGATCAGTTCGCGGGAAAGAGGCGAGCAGTGTGTGCACCGTGAGCTGGTGGCTTCAAAGAGAAAGTACAAGAGCACGTCATTTTCGCGGGAATATCTCGCAACTAATGTAACAGCAACAGCGCTCTGCAGAAGAAAAAATACTCGCGTCGGATTATGAAAATGTTTGTAAAAACATGGCAACGTACGTTTTTAACCTTTTTAGCACTGTATTGGACCTCTTTTAAGGCGATGGTTTGCAGTGGAGTGAGAGGGGAAAACTTTAAAACAAAGTAGCTTTTATGAAACTATAGTGTTTCCCTCCAAAAAAAGAATGTACTTGCAGCCATTACGAACACACAGCAGTTTGGGTTATTTATAGTATTTTATTGGTTTGTATGATCTAGTCTAGACTAAATACAAATATTTTATTTCTTATGTGCACCTCGTATAATGTTTTTAATAATGTCACATTTGCAAAATCGACGTTGGGTAAATAATGGGTAGCCTATAAAGTACAATGATACATTGTTTAATATGTCGGTAATTCAGTCAAGCACAAATGTTCGTTTTCAGTATAAATACGCTCAAACTACTCTCAAATTCATTTTGTTCACGATTTCATTGTTTGAGGCGATCTGGTAGAGCTTTCGTGTTGTGTTCATATAGACGAAACGAAACGAAACACCGAACTTTAAACAACAAATACGAATGGAATTCAATATGGAAATCAGCAACACGGGTCAGAATTGTTCTGTTTTAGCCGTATATGCATTGTCAAACTATGTCTTGCTCACGCGGACTGTATATTTGCTTCTTCCTGTACTGTTTTTAACAAGATGGACATTATTAATCGTAATTTATAATAATCGCCATTTCAAGCGAATTTATGCAATACAAAATGTTTAAATGGATAAACAATGGCATTAAAGCATTATTAGACACCGGCCAAGAATTCTTCTAAGCACTCTGTATGACAATAAATAACGTTTTGACAACTAATAACTGAAGCGAGTATTACCATTTAAAATGGCAAATCAAGATCAGATTTATATTTGATTACACAAATGTTTCGCTTTCTACGAATTATCCTAATTTAAGTATTTCTCACTACAGCTATAATAATTGGACTTTTATGGTGGCTTCTAAGAATAGCCGGGAGATTCCTGTGCTGCTGTGGACATGATCAATGTGGTGTGTACCAATAGTGTTCTTTAAGAAATTAAAAATAATCAAAGTTTGAAAACATTCTGATCAAAGCTAATGAGATTATGTAATGCGTTAACAGACGTTCAGCTCTCAGTTGAAGAAACCGCGCCATCTATTGGTGTAAGCACTGTAAGGTGGAGGTATTATCAGGACAGGTGAGACACAAGTGACAGTCTTCCATTCATTAACTGGACAGGCTTTGATGAAAATTATTTGCATCTGAATTTCTTAATTTTAAATGATTGATGACATGGTGTTGAAGTGTTAAATTGTACAATGCTAATGGCCTTTCCATTCGTTTTCTATCCAGAACACTTGGATCAAGATTAAGAAACAGCTTTAAGTTGAGCATTTATAAGATGGAGGATTGGCCCCCTTGAAATCATTGTTGCCCCAGCCACATCGGTTGCAAATTCCCAAGAGGAGCTGATGTCAAGGTGGGGCAGAGTTACTGGCACTCTCACCCCATTTTTAAAGAAGGAGTTCTCTAGACCTACATTTGGTTTGGTCCATGCAAAGCAGCATTAGCATAATCTTATCTATGTAATGGTAATAGGGAGCCCCGCCATGTGTTGTCGCTAAGATTTAATTAGACCCACAGTGTTGAGATTTTTAATGTCAAATGAATTCAATCACTCATTCATTCCTTCATCATAAGCAAGAATATCAGGGCTGATATACAGCACACAATTGTGAGTGTGATATTAATTTTATACCAAAGTTCAATAACAGTATCTTCTTTCAAAGAAAATAGTTCCAAAAGAAGCCAAAGGATCACGCTTCCAAATTATGCACAGGCTGAATATAAATAAATACGTTATTGGAATATTTTCTTACTTCATCAAACCAAAGTATCTTACTTTTTGCACCACTACATTTCAGAAATATCGTTCCTCACTCGTGCATTTGAAGACATGACAGTGATGTCTGATAGAATCATTCTTCTAAGTCTATTCTTTTGATGAACCTGTTCATCAGACGGAACGATTCATTTACAAAGTGGAGAGATCCAATTGCAGCTGTTCTCGACTCACTGAGACTCATGAGTCTCGACAGATTGAGTCTCCAGTTAACAGCACACAAGACTACATATGAGTCTGTATACCTATTATCAACTATATAAACTGACTTAACAAGTTTCACTTGCATTGACATGGCAAGATGTTTTCTTTTAGTTGTCCTCTTTCACGGACAGCTCTTTTCACCTTGCTGTGGAAATGTTTAAATTCTTTAAAATGTTCAATCTTTTAATCCTTAGCAGTGAATCGAGAGCAGTGAATAACAGTTAAAAGGCATATGATTGGCTGTTCTTTACTGATGTCACGCTTTCAAGTGCACATGCTCCATAAACTCCGGATCAAAGCCTGAGTTGACAGAGAAAGTTGTTGATCAGCATCACGGTACCATCAAAGCTGGATTGGATTGGTTTGGTTTCGTCAACGCAACAAAAAATTCTGTAACCCTGAGTTTGTTCAGCCACCATCATGGTACAAGCCCCTGGCGTCCCCCACCTTGAGTTTGTGGAGGGTTTACAGAGTGTCCGAAAAGTCACTAATGGCAAATGTTACGTTTTTAAAATAAAAATTATATTTAGGTTACATGTCTGTAAGTTGTTTTCTTTTTTTATCTAAATCTGCTGTAAAAGGGTGATCTGTTCAGGCTTGGTATGAAATGCTTGAATGTATACATAAAGCTGGTATATTTGGTAATTATTGAAAACAATGTTAAAATAATGTAAAGCAATGTCTAATGTGTCTTCCCTAATTTAAAATTATATAACAAATGCATAATGCATAAGAACAGTGTGTTTGCTTTTAGTTCTTAAAACATTCACTATTTGCCTCATGTGAGATCATTCTGCTTAAAACCTGCTGAATCAGCCTAAGATGGTTTCCTGGTTTAAGATGGTCTCTTGTCTAGCTGATCTCTCAGTTGAAGAGTGCTCAAAACCCTCTCTATAACAGACCAGCCCGAGCAGGCTAATTCCTTTTAGTAAAAATGTTTGCTGATTTGCAGACCATGCATAAACTAGTGAAACCTGATTCTCAATTGATGATGTCAGACTGAGCTGCTCGAGACGGAAAGCGGAAAGCCTCCGAGCCTCACCCCGTCAAAACAGATAGCTCTCTTCAACCATTGGTTCACACAACATTTCACTCCACCAATAGCAGAACTTTTCACACGCAAACTTTAAAGGAAACGGGCTATTTCATGCACTGTACTGCTTGGTAGGGAATGCTTGACCCTTATTTAAAGTTCGTAAGGAATTACTAAAGACCACAACCAGTGACTGACATGGAAATTAATTATGAGGGTGAGAACTGTACTTTTAATTGCAGTATCTTGTCGTATAGGCACGATGGCACTTGTTATTTCTGTTCTGCTTTCTATCCGCTATATATTTATATAGACTATAAATATAACTGTTTTGGAGTTGAGAACTGTTAACTTCACGCTCATGAATGCCAACGCCAAATAATATTGCTACTGAAATAAATAGATGGTTTTGATTCGATCTTAAAGTAGTTTCCTTTAAAGGGTTTACTTATTTTAGATAGAGGATTGTACGAGGGACGAATGTCTTCGCTTGTATAGCGAAATATCACGACAACCGACAAGTGAGGACATTTGTCCTTGGTAACGCTCATAAAGCTCATAAACCCTCCAAATTATGTTTCTATTTAAATGTAGTGATTTTTAATAGGTTTCTTTGAGGGTTAGGTTTGGGTCTAGGGGTCGGCTTAGTTATGGGTTATATATATATATATATATATATATATATA